CTATGACTATTTGTAACTACCAATTTGTACATCTTAATCCCTTCTCCTCTTTCACCCATCCACCTCAGCGCCCTCCAATCTGACAACCATCAAAATGTTCTCTGTATCTATGAGTTTGTTTCTGTTTATCTTGTTTTTTAGATTCCACATGTAAGTGAAATCATATGGTATTTGTCTTTCTCTGTCTGACTTATTTCACTCAGCATAATAACCTCTAGGTCCATCTATGTTGTTGCAGATAGCAAGATTTCATTCTTTTCTATAGCTGAGTAATGCTCTGTTGTATATATGTACCACCTTGTTATCCATACGCCTGTTGATGGACACTTAGATTGCTTCCATATCTTGGCTATTGTAAATAATGCTGCAATGAACATATGGATGCTTTTCAAATTAGCGTTTTTGGTTTCTTAGGATAAATACCCAGAAGTGGAATTACTGGGCCCTTTTTTTGTCTCTTGTTATAGCCTTTGTTTTAGCCTATTTTGTTTGATATAAGTATTGCTACCTCAGCTTTTTTTTTGTTTCCATTTGCATAAAATATCTTTTTCCATCCCTTTATGTACAGTCTGTGTGTACCTTTTGATCTGAAATGAGTCTCTTATAGTAAGTATAGTAGGGACCTTGTCTTCTTTTTTTTTTTTAAGATTTTTATTGGGGAATTGGGGGAGGGGAACAGCTTTGGGGAATCAAGGAAGGGAAACAGACAAGTTGCTGTCCTTTTGTTCTTCAGTCTAGTTGTGGAGGATGTTGCTTCACTGGCCCAAGTTGGCACCATCATTGCGCTCTTCCCAGGTGAGGCAGATCAGTCGCCGGCTTCTGGACGGCCACTCACATCAGCTACTGGCTGCTCACGCTGGCTGCTGGCTACACACGGTAGCCCATGGCAACCCACCTGCCATCACCGGCGACTCACGGCAGCCCAGCTCCAGGTTGAGCTGTTGTTCAGCATCTTAGCTGTAGAGGGCAGTGTCACTGGCCCTCATATGTGGGATCCGACCCAGGGCCCTCTGGCATCCCAAGCCAGCTCTTAACCAATGCACCACTCGGCCGGCCTGGGACCTTGTTTTCTTATCCATTTGGCCACCGTATGTCTTTTGATTGGAGCTTTTAATGCATTTACATTGAAAATAATTGTTGATAGATACGTAGTTATTACCATTTTATTATTCATATTTTGATTTTTTTTTCTTCTAAGCTTGATTCTAAATGATGGGATTTGCTGAGTAGAGTGATCTTTGTTGTAGGTCCTTGCTCAGTATTATTTCTGAGCATTAGAACCTGAAAAATCCGATCACTGTTACCGTGTATAGATGAGGAAAGTAAGACTCAGGATAGAATAGTGACCTACCCCATATAGCACACCACATTGCCAAACTGGGGCTAAATTCCTGGTTTTTAGCCTCATTCTAAAAGCTAGCTCTTCCCACTATATCAGTGATTTTTTAGGCTTTCCCTGAGGATAACAACCACCTGGAGTGTTTGATAAGTGTATGGATTCTCAGGCTCTATAGAAAACCCACTGAATTAAAATATTTGGGGAGGAATCTGGGAAGCTATAGATTTGACAAGCATCTGGGATAGTCTTACAATTAGGCTGTTTTAGGAAAGATTGCAGTACAACAGTGGTTCTCGAAATCAGCATACATCAGAATCGCCTGCAGGGCTGGAGAATATGATTCATTAGGTGTGATGGGGCTCAAGATTTTGCATTTCTAGCAAGTTCCTATGTGATGTTAATGGTGCTGGCTGGGAACACACTTTGAGAACCACTGCAGTACATTATGCAGACCCATGATTCTCAGTTCCCCAGGATAGGGTCTGGGACTGGCTTTTGCTGTGGGACTTTTCTCACTCAGCCAAAATTCAACAATACTTATTCAGTATCTATTACATTTGTATCCATTGGAGACAGAAAATGAATAAGAATCAGTGACTCCCCCCACCCCATCAGACTATGATCTGTAAAAAAAAATATACAGAATAAAGTGTAGTATATCCTATAATGAAGAAGCAGATCAAATGTAGCAAGAAAACTAGGGAAGCATAGATGGATTTTGACTGGGCAGAGGGGGCATTGGTAATGTGTCATGGAGGAGCTGAGATCTGAAAGCATTGTTCATCATTTTCATAGCCTCACTGTACTATACTTTTGATTTCCTATCTCCCCTATTGTCCCTGTAGTAATCTTAGCACCTACTGCACCTTTTTCAGAGTGAATGTAGGTTAGTCCAGGTGTTAAGGTAGGGAAGTAGGACTGGCAAGGTAGATGGTGCTCAGACTGTGGAGAACCCTGAATGCCAGGTGCAGGAGCTTGGGTTTTCTACTGTGTGTATAGTCATTAAAGTATTGCAAAGGGTGTGACTGATGACAACTCTGGCAGGGGTACATAACATGGATTGGAGGAAGGAGAGTTTGGAGGTAAGGGACCAGCAAAGATGATATATCATAGGACTCAGATGAGAGAAAATGCAATGGACAAGGGAGGCACTCTGGAGGGGAAAGGATCAGGATAAGTGACCACTATTGGGAGTGTGGGAGCCTGGAGTTGAAGAGCTTTTCAATCTGCATCACAGAAATGGTGGTGTTTTCAAAGGGGAGAACTCTAAAAAGGATTGGTAATTCTCTCTGGGAATAAAGAAGGAAGCAGGGAAAATCTGGAGAAAAATTTCAAAGGAAGTGATTCATCTTTGTTAAGCAGAAACAGTTGCTACCTTTGGGTAGCCTTTCCACTAAGCTTCCCCATTCATGTCTACCAGAGCTATGCACTCTAAAATGTCCAGTGACTTCTTTCACTTTCCTTCCAACCAACCAGGATTTCTACTTCTTTAGTGCACATTTGGAATGTGAAAAAGACAATAAGCTGTGAATGACTCTTACTACGGTGTTTTTGATTTAGGACCAGATAAAAATACAGCAGTGCCCCAAGGTAGCGTCTTCTTCTTCTTCTTCTTTTTTTTTTTTTTAAAGATTTTTTTTGGGGAATTGGGGAAGGGGAACAGTCAAGTTGTTTTTCTTCAGTCTTAGTTTTGGAGGGCGCAGCTAGCTCAGCTCTAAGTCCAGTCGCCATCCGGCTGCCCGATGGCAGCTCGCAACTGCTCAGCTCAAGGTGCTGTGTTCAGTCTTAGTTGCGGCTGGGCATAGCCCACCATTCCATGCGGGAGTCCAACCAGCAACCTTGTTGTTAGGAGCACATGCTCTCACCATCTGAGCCATCCTACCACCTGTTGGCAGCTCAGAGGCAGCTCAGCTTGGGTGCAGCTCACTGGCCCATTTGGGAATCGAACCGGCGACCCTGTTGCTCAGAGCTCACACTCTTAACCAACTGAGCCACTCGGTCGGCCCTAAGGTAGCCTCTTAAGTCACCCCTCTCCTGCCTGATTTTAGAAATACTTTACTGATCTTGATGTATGTACTATCCTGGCTTATTTTTCTAGCCCCTAGACCTTATCCTGGTCTTTGTTTTTCCTGGATATATCAATCAAGATTCAGGTGCAGAAAAAAGAACTCTATTTTTTAGCTATTTTAAGCAAAAAGGAATTTGGGAATTTAATGCTTACAAAATCAATGGAAAGATTGGTAAATGAGCTCTAGGCAGGGAGGGCTTCCAGAAGTGACTCACACATCTTGCTTAACTGACTGCTGGGAGCTGCTCCTTCGGGCATAGTCAGGAAGGTGGGAAATCTGGCAAGATACCGCGTTAGCTGCGATTCAGGGATCAGGTGACCTCTGTACTGCTTTTGACTCTGGAGCCACAGTATACAGTATGTCTGTTGTTATGCTCATTGGCAAAAAAAAAAGCAACTCAGGAAAAGTGACTGAAATGCTGCTATAGAAGTCAATCTTGCCATGACTTCTTGCCAAAAAAACCATCAGAGCCTTCTGACTTCCAAATTGTGTGTGAGTGCATCTGGCTAGTGGGTCCTAAATTACGTCTAGGGCACCGGCTGCAGTAGGGCGTTACCTTTCCGTCCACAGCAGTTCAAGAAAGCACATGAGGAGTGGGATGGATGGGGTGTTGAGTACCAGTCTACTGTGTTCACCATGCTGGGAGTTGAACTTTATCTTCTCTTTGAATTCAAATATTTGACTAGGTGAGATAGGCAGCTTTTTTTTCCTATGACTTTATTTTGATAAAGTCCTGTCTTCTCCAGCCTAGCTTTGAGTAGACCTGTTTTTGTTAACAGCTGGTGTGATGGCATTTCAGGATTTCAGTATATTATTGAGTAACTAAAGTCAGTTGGGTTTGTATACACTTAGTCTTCACATTTGGTGGCTCATAAAATGATTGCTTATATAATGCTATATCAAAAGCTTAGAGGGAACATTGGCTCTGAATACTTCCATGTATATAGCTATAGTCTATGTAGACCCATTTATACTTATTTTCTATTTCTTTTATAGCAGCAACATGAAAATTAATGTATTTTTAAGCAGTCTATTGTCAGTCATTAATGAGACATTTAGTCTTCAAATTTCAATTTAGCTCATCTCTTTGGCTTAATTCGGCTTTCGTTGATAAGTTTTGTACCTCATATATATCTTAGTGTATATGCAGCTTGTATCGTAGCAGGGAGGACCTGATACGATAACAGTTTTCTGTTCATCCTGGCAAGATATGACTCAAGAAGAGAAAAATTTAATCTGCTTAGGTTGACACTTTGCCTCAGTCTAAGAAATAAAAGCATATTCTGTGAGTTTGGAGATGGAGAGCAGGTTAGCAATCAGAAGATGGAGAGTTTTTTACCTCTTTTGTAATCAGGCTTTCATAGGGTGAACCTTATGAAAATGTAGTTGGAACCCAACATAATGTAGTTGGAACCCAACATACATTATTTTTTCATTATTTCCCATTTTGGATTATATGACTCCTGCACATTTTCTGTTTAATACAGGTATCAAATGTCAATTTATGTCAGCAGAGGTATGAAATGAGAGCAAACACCTTTTGCTTTGTCAATGGCTTAAAAAACAAATTTATTGTTTGTATTACACTATAGAGTGCTGCAAGGAATTCCTGTTACGGGTGACACTCAAGCAAATGTTCCCATCCTTCCAACAACACCAGGGACACCACCTGAATTGGCACAAGGAACTAGACAACGTGCTCACAAATCATACCTACAACTCTTGGGAGAGGAAGTAAGAACTTATCTTAATATTACTTTTCTCTATCTCACAAGTTCTCAAACTTTTAAATTTCAGGGCTCTTTTTATACTCTTAAAAATTATTGAGGGTCGGCTGTGTGGCACGTTGATTAAGAGTTGTCTTGGGAGCGCCGGTTCTGAGCAGCATGGCCATGGTTCGGATCCCACATGAGGGCAAGTGATGCTGCGCCCACTACAGCTAAGATGGCGAACAACAGCTCGACCTGGAGCTGGGCTGCCATGAGTCGCCAGCTACGGCATAGGCTGCAGCAAGCCTGCAGTGGGCTGCCATGAGCTACTGTGAGCGGCCGGCAGCTGGCATGAGCTGCTGTGAGCTGCCGTGAGTGGCTGTCCAGCACCTGGTGACCGATTGCCTCACCTAGGAAGAGTGCACTGATAGTACCAACATGGGCCAGTGAAGTGACGTCTGCCACAACTAGACCAAAGAACAAAAGGACAGCAACTTGTCTGTTTCCCTTCCCCGATTCCCCAACACTGTTCCCCTCCCTCAATTCCCCAATAAAATCTTAAAAAAACAAAATTATTGAGAACCTCAATAATTATTTATGTGGGTTATATCTATTGACATTTACAATGTTGGAAATTGTAAACAGAACAGAAAATACTAAATGTTTATTAAAAATAACAGTAGTAAAGTCGTATATGTTAAGATAATGTATTTTCATGAAAAATGATTATATTTTTAAATGAAAAATTTGATGACAAAACTAGGATTGTATTACTTGTTTTGCAAATCTCTTTAATGTCTGGGTTAATAGAAGATGGCTAAATTCTCAGGTCTGCTTCTGCAATCAAAATCATGGTAGGTTGATTTGGTTGGAAAATTCTGGTCTTGCACAGATATATAGTTGGAAAAAGAAAGATTATTTTAATGGCTTTTTAGAATAATTATGGATATTTGCCTTTGATTATATGTCAAAACTTAATGAGTGATAGTTCTTGAAAGTTAGTTGCAAGACTTCCACTTCTGGGGATGATGGGACATAAAGTACTTTTACTTTTTCCTATTCTGCTTGCTAAGTACAACTAAAAACCCTGGATGTTACAAACACAAAGACTCTGAAAGGTGGAAAGAATGAAGCACTTTACTTTGGAACTTTGGGACCTAAGAAATGACATGGCAATGAGTGAGTTCCTTAGGTTTTCTTATTTGCTTCATGTATCCTAGACTTGGAGCTGAAAAAGCTGCTAATCTTGGAGAGAAAAAAAAAAAGGTCAAGAAAAAGAAAGTCCCAATGAAAGCTCATTCTCTTTAGCCTAAGAGCTAGGAAAGGGGAAGCCTAGCAAGACAGGAAATTTTTAGATGATAACCACTCCATTTCAGCCAACAAAACAGAAAAAACAGTGACCCTTCCCCCACCTCCACCAGCAAAGTCGTATGGGACATCTAGACTTTTACTCTTGTCAGAGTATAACAAGGCACCCCAAACACTTCTGCCAAGGTGGTGTCGAAGAAGGCTGAGTGTTGTGCTGGGACTTTGAACTTAACAGAGTGGTAATGTGGTTTCTTCTCCATGCTCTCAGCTGAGACCACATGGGGATCCTGGACTTCCATCCCTACCTAGTAGTAATGAGCCACTTCTTCCCTTCCCCACCAAGCTGGTATATCAAAGGCAGCCTGGCGGAATGTTGGCTAAAATAGAAGGTTTGAATAAGACCCAGAGTCTCATAGCATAACCCAAAATATCCAAATTTTCATGGAAAGTCACTAATCATACCAAGAACTAGGAAAATCTTAAACTGAATGTGAAAAGGCAATTAACAGAGCCAATACTGAGATGACAGACATGTTAGAAATATATGACAAAGGTTTTACAACTGCCATCATAAAAATGCTTCAATAAGCAATTATGAACACATTTGAAACAAATTTAAAGAAAAAGAAAGATTCAGAAAGGAAATAGAACAGATTCAATGCAATCCTTATCAAAATTCCAATGGCATTTTTCAAAGAAATAGAACAAACAATCCTAAATTTGTATGGAACTATAAAAGATCCTGAACAGTCAGAGCAATCTTGAGAAAGAAAAACAACACAATAGGCATCATGCTTCCGGCTTTCAAACTATATTACAAAGCTATAGTAATCAAAACAGTAGAGTATTGGCATAAAAACACACATAGATTAATGAAACAGAATAGGAAGCCCAGAAATAAACCTACACATATATGGTAAATTAACTTATGACAAAGGAGCAAATAATATACAATGGGAAAAGGACAGTCCCCCCAATAAATGGTTTTGGGAAAACTAGACAGCCACATGCAGAAGAATGAAACTGAACTACTATCTTACACTGTACAAAAATTAATTCAAAATGGAGTAAAGACTTGAATGTAAGACCTGAATCCATAAAACTAGAAAAAGCATAGGTGGTAAGATCCTTATCATTGGTCTTGTCAATAAGTTTTTGGATTTGACACAAAAGTAAAGGCAACAAAAGTAAAAATAAACAGGTGGGACTACATCAAACTAAAAAGCTTCTGCAGAGCAAAGGAAACCATCAACAAAATGAGAAGGCAACCTATTGAATGGGAGAAAATATTTTCAAATCATATTTGTCTGACAAGGGACTAATATCCAGAATACATAAAGAGCTCATACAACTCAATAGCAAAAAACCAAACAATCCAGTTGAAAAATGGGCAGGAGATCTGAATAGACATTTTCCCAGTGAAGATATACTGAAGTTGGCCAACAGGTACATGAAAAGATGATCAGCATCACCCATCATCAGGGAAATGCAAATTAAACCACAATGAAATATTACCTCATGCCTATTAGAATGGCTATTATCAAAAAGTCAACAAATAACAGGTGGTGGTGAGGATGCGCACTGTAGCCACTATGGAAAACAATATGAAGTTTCCTCAAAAGATTAAAAATAAAACTATCATATGATCCAGCAATCCCACTTCTGGGTGTTTATCTGATGAAAATGAAAACACTAACTCAAAAAGATGCCTGCACCCCTGTTTATTGTGGCATTATTTACAATGGCTAAGATATGGAAATAACCTAAGTATCCATTGATGAATGAATGGTTAAAGAAATTGTTGTGTGTGTGCATGTGTGTGCGTGTGTGTGTGAGTATAAATAACTCAGCCATAAAAAAGAATTAAATATTGTCATTTATGACAACATGGAGGATATTATACTAAGTGAAATAAGTCAGACAGAGAAAGACAAACAGTGTATGATCTCTTTTCTATATGGAATTTTTAAAACAAAAACAAATCCAAGCCCATAGATATGGTGACAGAGACAGGGATTGGGTAGTGGGTGAAATGGGTGAAGGGAGTCAAAAGGTACAAACTTCCAGTTACAAAATAAATAAGTCATGGAGATTTTATGTACTGCACGGCAACTATAGTTGATAATACTGTATTGCATATTTTAAAATTGCTAAGAGAGTAGATCTTAAAAGCTCTCATCACAAGAAAAATAATCTGTTACTATGTATGGTGGTAGATATTAACTAGACTTATTGTGGTGGTCATCGAATCATTATGTTTTATACCTGAAATTAATATAATGTTATATGTCAGTTATACCTCAATAAAAACTATGCAGAAAGGAAATAGAAAGTCTTAATAAAGAAATTAAAAATATAGAGAAGAATCATGAAAATTTTAGAATTAAAATATGTAATAATTGAAATAGAAAGCTCAGCAGATGGGCTCAGAAGTAGAATAGAGGAGACAGGAAAGAAACAGTGAACTCAAAGATAGAACAATAAAACTTATCCAGTCTGAACAACAAAGAGAAGTAGACTGAAAAAAAATTAGCAGAGCCTCCGGGATCTGTGGGAATATAACAAAAGATCTAATTGTGTTATTGCAGTCCTGGAAGGAGAAGAAAAAGAAGGGGGGGGGTGGTGACTAAAAATGTATAGGAAGAAATAATGGCTAGAGACTTCCCCAATTTGGCAAAAGGCTTAAACATATTAATTAAGCTGAGCAAACACCAAGCAAGAAAAATCTGAAGAAAACTGTACCAAGCCACTTAACAGTAAAACGTGTGACAATAACGACAAAGAAAAAACCTTGAAAGCAGCAAGAGAGGAACAATATGTTACACAGGATAAAAACAACTTGAATGGCCATATATTTGTCATCAGTAGCTATGGAGCCAGAAGCAGGAAGTTCAGTGGCAGAACATTTCGCAAATGCTGACAACAAAAACAAAAACAAAAACAAAAACAAAAGAAACCCTGTGGGCTCAAAGTCTTGTATCTCTAAAAATAGCTTTCAGGAATGAAGGAGAATCAAGACATTTTCAGAGGAGAGAAAACTAAGAGAATTTGTTGCCAGCAGACTTACCCTTAAAGGATGACTAGAGAAAATTCTCCAAACAGGAAGAGAATAATAAAAGACATCTTTGAATACCTACAAACAAAAATATATAAAGCAATACAATAGAGCTTTCTTCTCCTTTTGAGTTTTCTAAATTATGCTTGTCAGTTGAAGCAAAAATTTTCATAGTGTTAAATGTATATACAGGATATGTTTAAGAAAATTATATTATAAGTGGGAAAGAGTAGAGAGACATAAAGGGAGGTAGGGTTTCTATAGATCACTTGAACTGGAAAAATGATGACATCAGTAGATCTTAAATAATTATGTTTATATAATGTAATACTGAGAACAAAACTAAAAAAGCTATACAAAGAGATACACACATAAAACCATAGATAAATAAAAGTAGAATTCTAAAATATATCCAAGTAATAGGAAGGCAGGAAATAGAAAACAGAGAAACAAAAGAAATCAGAGAGAACAAAGAGAAAACAAAAAATGAAATGGCAGACTAAATCCATAACTTAAATGTAAATTGTCTATATAAACCAATTAAGTGGCAGAGAATGCAGAATGGATTAAAAAGCATGATCCAACTTTATATTGGGTTGTTGGAAAAGTTATGACGCATTTTTGCAACAAAAAACAGAAAAATACGTCATGACTTTTCCCAA